AGATCTGTCAGAGCTTCGAAATTTAGGATTATTTACATGAACAGAGCTGTGCTAATATTTGAAAACAATTTCCAAAGAACTCTATTTGTGTCAGTTTGCGCTTTCTTAGTTTCATTCTGTAGATTCTCAGCCCAATCAACTGGGAATTTTTTTCACTGAGATGTGTGGATGGAATGGACTTTAGGAGTCTGAAGCTTAGAAAATAATGCAAAATTTTTATATGTGATTCTCTGGGAAGAAGATCCATATCTTTTAATCAAATTCCTAGAAAGGTTAAGAATTGGCCAGGTGCAGTGGCTCACACCTGTAATCCTAGCACTTTGGGAGGCAGAGGTGGGTAGATTGCTTGAGCTCAGGAGTTTGAGACCAGCCTGGGCAACACGGTGAAAACCCTGTCTTTACTGAAAATACAAAAAATTAGCTGGGCATGGTGGCATGAGCCTGGAGTCCCAGCTACTTGGGAGGCTGAGGCAGGAGAATCTCTTGAACCTGGGTGGGGGTGTGTGTGTGGAGGTTACAGTGAGCTGAAATTGCACCACTTCACTCCAGCCTGGGCAACAGAGCAAGACAACGTCTCAAAAAAAAATTATCCTATAGAGTTTCTAAAGAAGGATGTCAAGGTGAAAATGTTTTTTCCCTATCTGTCCCAGGAGTTATTCTCACATTTGCATATGTCTATAAAGAGACTACAAAACTATTGAATATTCTTAAGTTCTCTCAGTCTCAATGCCTAATATCCATTAGATCAGTTCTGATTCCCAGTGCCTTGGGCAAGTGCTCATTTGGGTTAGTAGCAACATGGTGACCAGAAATGTCTCAGATGTACTTGAGTTTGTATCTAGATTCTATTGCTTTCCAGCTGGGTGACCTGCTCATTCACTTTTTTGTGAGTTTTGTTTTGAAGGTTAAATGAGGTAATACACATTAAACTGGTCACACAGTTTATGGCACATGGGAGGCACTCAGTAAATGGCGGTTACTATTGTTAGCAAGGAGATTATGGTGTTCTTGGTATTTTAGAAAGTTGCCATCATAGAGAAAACTGATGATTTTGTTTTCTGTTTAGAAAACTAGATACTAAGAACCATTTAATGATTGTAAGGAAGGAAAAAGCTAGAGGTCAAACTATAATAAATTAAATTAACCTAGGGTTTTTTTTTTTTATTACTAAGGATTAGGCCGGTAACATAACTGAAGTCAGTGTCATTCTGTTCTGTTGTCATGAAACATTGCACTTTACATTCAGTGTGTTGGGTGATAGAGCATTAAATTTAATGCAAGTTTAATAGCTGTATTTTTGAAAGCTTGTGAAAGCTATTCATCTAATGAGGTGCTACCCTTTATCTTAGAATTCAAGGTAAATATTCTAAAGGTCAATCCTGCTTACTTTTTAAGCGATTGTAGCTTATCTTTCTTGAAATTGTCGTTTTGGTCAACACTTTGTGTAAATGAGATTGGTTTCAACCACATAGATTTTTCTAATGGTTTCCTTTAGTTAATAACCTTGCAAAAATCTTATTGAAGATTTTTAGACCTGTATTGTTATTGTAGACACTGCAACAGCATTGATGTTCTGTTGTTTTGTTTTTTCTCTTAAAAACATTAGGCTTTGTATGCCTGCATGACTATATGTGCACTATGGTTAGAGATCTCTCATTTCTTTTACTGGTTTAGGGCTCTCTCGGCATACTTTTAATATACTGTAAAAAAGAATTGCGCCGGGCGCGGTGGCTCAAGCCTGTAATCCCAGCACTTTGGGAGGCCAAGGTAGGTGGATCACAAGGTCGAGAGATCGAGACCATCCTGGTCAACATGGTGAAACCCCGTCTCTACTAAAAGTGCAAAAAATTAGCTGGGCATGGTGGTGTGTGCCTGTAATCCCAGCTACTCAGGAGGCTGAGGCAGGAGAATTGCCTGAGCCCAGGAGGCGGAGGTTGCGGTGAGCCGAGATCGCACCATTGCACTCCAGCCTGGGTAACAAGGGCGAAACTCCGTCTCAAAAAAAAAAAAAAAAAAAAAAAAAAAGAGATTTCTGGGGTCAAGTCAGAATATAGAAACTTGAAGATGATTCTCTACTTCCGGATGTCTTGCTGTTTTGTAGCATGTTTCTTTTTTTTTTTTTTTTTTTTTAAATTTGTGAGGCAGCCAAGGTGTTGGTGCCTTACCTCATAAGATTACAATACTGAAAACTGTGATTGTAGAGGACTTAGGTGCCCAAATGCCAAATAAAAAGTGACCCAGTCCTGGAAAAGAAGCCAACATTGCTTCAGGGCTTTAATGTAAGTTTAGAGAGAATTCAGAGATTAGATAGAAAGGACAGGGCAAGTTAGATTGTAGGCTTTAAGAATGCCTAAGTAGTGTAATACTTATTCATATTTTCCTCATCTTTAAAAAATATGTCACTAGTATAATCCCCTCTGACTTCCAAAGAAGCTCTATATGTGCACTTAAGTAATAGAGGCACGCAATGAAAAACCTTGGCAATTTTGAATAACAGTGCTTTTTTCGAACAGAGTCTTTCTGTGCACTTTATGTAAACCAACAAACAGAGCACAAGTTTCTTCACTATCACAAATAGGCTTTTACATCAATGAGATTTGACTATATAGTGTGGCCATTATAGTAAGCTAGGTAAAAAGTATTCCCCACTGTGTAGGACTTAAGCGGAGGGCCAGCAGTAGCTTCCCTTTGCATTGAATGTGCTGGGAAGAATACAAGAAAGATTAATTCATCCACAAGACTTCAGACCTTAGAGTACCAACTGGCTTATTGTTGGCTTGAAATTTTATTTTACCTGCTGTCCTTTTGGGGACTTTGAAGAAAGATATGGGCCCTGGTTGAACCTGTACAATATAGAGTTTATGGGACAAAAAACGATGTGTCCTCAGGGCTTCCTTACAAGCTAACAGTGCTTCATTCATTGGGCCTGCTACTTCCTGCTTCTGCACTTGGGGTTGCCATCATGTGGCAGCACAAGGAACTGAAGCTGCTGTTGCAGAACCACTCCGGCTAAGCCCTGCTGTGTAAAATACAGTTTTGCTTTTTTATTTGAGGGAATGTCATTGCTTTTGATCAAGAGTTATGGGGAAGAGATAAACTAACAATAATGAGGTTGGAGATGTGTTTGGCACTTGGATCCTGAAGTAGCCTTTATAGTTATTATCCAGCAATCAAATTATTTTCAAGCTTTTCTTTGCTGGAAGAAACGTTAATGCAGTCTTTCCAGTAGCCAGGCGATCCCCTCACTTGAGGTAATAGCATTTGTTGCCTTGATTGTAGGGCATATGCTGATTGGATGATTTCTTTTTTCCTTTTTTTAGAGATGAGGTCTCACTCTGTCACCCAGGCTGGAGTACAGTGGCACAATCAAAGATCACTGCAGCCTCAAACTCCTGGGCTCAAGCCATCGTCCCACCTCAGCACCACCATGCCTGGATAATTTATTTTTTATTTTTTGTAGAGATGTGATCTCATTATGTTGTCCAGGCTGGTCTTTAATTCTTGGGCTCAAGCAATCTTCCTGCCTCAGCCTCCCAAAGTGCGGGATTATAGGCGTAAGCCACCGTGTCTGGCCATGGATGATTTTTAAAGTCAAGAAACTTTGATCAGGCATCTGCTACATCCAGGGTGCTGTGGCCAGTGCAGGGCATAGTAGGAGGTCTCTGACCTTAAGAACTTGCAGAATAGGTTGGGAAGTAGGATGTGTGATACAGATAACAAGTTCCAGGCTATGTTAAGGGTATTGTAGAGTAAAACTGGGACTTGGGCCTTCAAGGGAAGGAAGCCAATGTGCACGCAATGTGAGGGGAAGAATGAGGGGGAACAGGGTCTCAGAGGAAGAAAATTCCATTCAGGAAACAGTGAGAGGGACAGTTGGGGAGTGGAGGTAATACATTGTGAGGAACTTAAATGAGAATTTAACTAGCAACACTTCTATAAGAATGAACAAAAGTAAGAGGGTAAAATATTTCATGGGGGAATTAATTTTTGAATGTATCTGTGAAGCAGTTTTAATACTTTTTTCTCTCATTTAGGAAGTACTAAAGCTATGTTTGAATTGTCGGGGCAAAAGGTACTTTACCTCTGCCCTCCGAAGGTTCTATAACTGTCTGCTTAAATAAACTGATACTAGATTAACAGGAGAAAAGTCATACATATTTATTTATTTCCTTTCATTATTAATTGATATGTAATAATTGTACACATTTATGGGGTATAGTATGATATTTCAGTACATGGATACCACGTGTAATGATCAAATAAGAACAATCAGCATGTCCTTCAAGTCAAACATTGATCATTTCTTTGTGTTGGGAACATTAAAAATCCTTTCTTCTAGTTTTTTGAGAGTATACAATAAATTATTATTAACTATATTCACCCTGTAGTTCTGTGGAGTACTAGAACGTATTCTTCCTGTCTAGCTGTAATTTTGTATTTGTTAACCAACCTCACCCTGTTCTTCCCTCCCTGCTACCCTTCCCAGTGTCTGATAAACCACAATTCTACTCTCTGCTTCTGTGATCTCAACCTTGGCTAGCTGCCCCTTGAATTAAAACATGGTATTTATCTTCTTGTGCCTGACTTATTTCACTTAACGGAATGTCCTCCAGGCTCACCTCTGTGGCCGTGAATGACAGAATTTCATTCTTACCTTTTTATGGTCGAATAGTATTACATCATATATATACCATATTTTCTTTTTATCTGTTATTTTCTGTTTATCTGTTAATGGACGTTTAGGTTGGTTCCATATCTTGGCTATTGTGAACAGTGTTGTATTAAACATGGGAGTGCAGGTACGTCTTTGATATACTGATTCTCCTTCCTCTGGATAAATACTCAGCATTAGGATTGCTGGATCTTATGGTAGTTTTACTTTTAGGGAAAGCTTCATACTGTTTTTCGTATTGGCTGTACCAGCTTCCATTCCCACCAAAGGTGTGTAAGAGTCCCCTTTTCTCTACATTCTTTCCAATATTTATATTTTTTGGTATTTTTTCTATATGGAACCCTTCACAAATTTACCTGTCAGTCTTGCTCAGGGACCATGCTAATCATCTTTTGTGTCGTTCCAGTTTTAGTATAGGTGCTGCCTAAGCAAGCCCTGTTTTTTCTCTTTTTGGTTATAGCCATTCTAACTGCGGTGAGATATCTCATTGTGGTTTTAATTTGCATTTCCCTGATTGTTAGTGATGTACAGCATTTTTTCCTATGCTTGGCCATTTTTCTTTTTTTGAGAAATGTCTGTTCTTTGTGTGTTTTAAATTGAATTACTAGTTTTTTTTTTTTTATTGTTGTTGAGTTTTTTTCCTTAAATATTCTGTATAGTAGTCCTTCATTGGTTGTAGAGTTTGGATATGCTTTCTCCTGTTCTACAGGTTGTCTCTTCATTGGTTTCATCTGCTGAACAGAGCTTTTTAGTTTGATATAATCCTATTTATTAATGTTTTTGTTGCCTGTGCTTTTGAAGTCTTACCTATAAAATTTTCGCCTGTATTCCCATATGCTTTATTCTAATAGTTTTGTTTTGGGTTTTATGTTTAAGTCTTTAATTCATTTTGAGTTGGTTTTTATATATGGTGAGAAATGAGAATCTATAGTTGCCATTCTTCTGCATATGAATACCCAATTGTCTCAGCAGCAATTATTGAAGAAATTATTTTCTCCCCCACATAAGTTCTTGTAGCCTTTGTTGTAAATTAGTTGGCTATAAATAGTTGGATTTATTTCTGGGTTCTTTATTTTGTTCCATTGGTCCCTGTGTCTGTTTTTATACTAGTACCATGTTGTTTTGGTTATTGTAGCTTTGTGGTATAGTTTGAAGTCATGAAGTGTGTGTGATGCCTCCTGCTTTTTTATTTTTGTGCATATTGCTTTGGTTATTTAGGGTCTTTTGTGGTTCCATGCAAATTTTAGGATTAAGAAAAAAATCTGGGAAGAATGTCATTGGTATTTTAATAAGGCTTGCATTATGTCTGCAGATTGCTTTGGGTGATTTGGTCATTTTAACAACATTTATTTTTCCAATCCGTGAGCATAGGATGTCTTTCCATTTTTTTGTGTTCTCTTCAATTTATGTATTTATTTAATTTATATGGTTGTTTTTTTGTTTTTTGTTTTTTGGTTTTTTTTTGAGACAGGCAGGTCTTGAACTCCTGTACCCAAGTGCTGGGATTAGAGGCCTAAGCCACCATGCTCAGCCCTCTTCAATTTCTTTTATCAGTGTTTCTAATTTTCATTATATAAATCTTTTACCTCCTTGGTTAAATTTATTCCTAAGTGATTTTTGTGTAGCTATTGTAAATGAAATTGATTTCTTTTTCAGCTAGTTCATTGTTGGTATATAGAAGTGCTACTGATTTTTAAATTTTTATTTATATGTATGTATTTATTTATTTATTATTATTTTATTTTTGAGATGGAGTTTTGCTCTTGTTACCCAGGCTGGAGTGCAATGGCATGATCTCGGCTCACCGCAACCTCCGCCTCCTGGGCTCAGGCAATTCTCCTGCCTCAGCCTCCTGAGTAGCTGGGATCACAGGCACGCGCCGCCATGCCCAGCTAATTTTTTGTATTTTTTTTTAGTAGAGACGGGGTTTCACCATGTTGACCAAGATGGTCTCGATCTCTTGACCTCGTCATCCACCCGCCTCAGCCTCCCAAAGTGCTGGGATTACAGGCTTGAGCCACCACGCCCAGCTATATGTATTTATTTTTAAAAATTCTTTTTGATGACAGAGTCTTGTTTTGTCACCCAGGCTGGAGAGCAGTGGCACAATCTTGGCTCACTGCAACCTCTACCTTCCTGGGCTCAAGCGATCCTTCTACCTCAGCCTCCCAAATAGCTGGGACTACAGGTGTGTGCCACCATGACCAGCTGATTTTTGTATTTAGTAGAGATGAGGTTTCACTGTGTTGGCCAGGCTGGTCTTGAACTCCTGGAATAAAGTGATCTGCCTGTCTCAGCCTCCTGATTACGGGTGCGAGCCACTGCTCCTGGCTGCTACTGATTTTTATATGTTGATTTTGTATTGTGCTACTTTAATGAATCTGTTTATCAGTTCGAAGAGGTTTTTGGTGGAGTCTTTTTTTTTTTCTATGTATAAGATCGTGTCACCTGCAAAGGGGGACGATTTGTCATCCTCTTTTCCAATGCGGATGCCCTTTATTTCTTTCTCTTGTCTAATTGCTCTGGCTTTTACTTCTAGTACTTTTTCCTGTAGCTGTATCTGTTGTGTTGTTTGAATAGAGTGCTTTGGCTTTGTTCCTGGGTGAGCACGGTCATGTAGTCTCTGTATGATTTCTGGGTGACAAACAGCCATCAGTGGTGTCGGTGAATTCCTCAGTGGCTTACGCTGTAGTTTGTGGAGGCTGTTGGGTGCTTTTGTTGGACACAGGGATGCTGGGCAGTCAGGTCCTCAGGTCACTAGGTGACACATGTGGCTACATGGCATTCCTGCTGTTGGTGTGGGTGGCAGGCTTTTAGTGTACTAGTCCTCAGGACCCTGGTCAGTGTGCCCGAGGGCTTGCAGTGGTGGTTGTGGGCTCTGGGTGAACTGGTCCTCTAGTCTCTGCACTGCATGCATGGCTGTATGGCAGCTCTGCGTCTGGAGGGGTGGGGTCATTGTCAGGGTTGGTGGCAACAGACCTGGGTAGGTAATAATGTGCAGGTGCATGGAAGTCACACAAGGTATGAAACTTGAAGAAGGGCTAAATACCCTCTTCATAGGGAAGAGGGGAGAGGGAAGGGGAATTTGTAGGCAATTTTGGAGGGAGAGTAAATTATTTTGAAGGGAGATGATTGGGCCCAAAGAACAGACAATAGCCTAGGACAAAATTCATCTGGTCTATGGCTGTGGCACCCACTCTAGTCTTGTCTCATGTGAGAATTTTCTGTGTTTGATAAGAGAATAGGGAGGGGGCCCAAGAAAATAGCATTCCTTCTGAGGGAACTTCAGAGAAATCCTCTCTTTGCACTTCAGGAGAAACAAAGGGATGGCGGGGGGTGATTAGAGAAGGTCAGCGAGACCTTCATTCTGAGGCTGCTCCTTTACTTCAAAGTACTGAGCATGTCAAAGCGCTATACTTTGGTTTGTTTTCTGAGCCCCAACAGGATCTTTAAAATTTCTTCTATTCTTGATAATTTTGGAAATTATAAATCCTTCTGGAAGGAATACAATTTGCCAGGAGACTTGTTTTAATTACGTTTAATGCTTTTAATTTCAAAGGGAACAACTGGCTCAGATATTTTAGTAGTAACTTTTGAGCTACTAAAAAGTTAGTAGCTTTACTAACAAACAGCCTTCCGTGATTTGGGCAAGATAGAAAAAAATGAAATGAAACTAGAGTTAAGATTATAGACAGAATGCATGTTCCAAGATTTGGTTTACTTGCTAGAGATGGGGGGCAAAATTCCCTGCACTTTCCAGCAGCCGAAGCAATAGGGACCCACAGTAGCAGTGACTCAATTTACGGTGACGTTAAATAGGACAGATACTCCTACTGCTTAGTGTTCAGAAAAATGGTTTTTTTGTAAGCCGTCATAAAGAGACTTCTCATGAAGAATTCTGTCAACCATATCCCCTGAGTTAATACAGTATCAGATATCAATCCCTTTTTATACTGTCCCTCAGCCTTGATCTGTAGTGTGACACCAAAGTACAGTACAAATAATTTTCTGCGGACTTGAAACCATCCAGTCCAAGCAGGCAATTCTCTGAAGCTCTACCTTAATTTAAGAATAAAACATAACAGCAGGTAAAGCAGTTTCTTGACCGGCGATTCTCTTTCGGATTGCATACTTCTTTGGGAAGTGGATGATAGATCTAGATTTCTTTCCTTCTCAGTGCATATATGCATAATCACATACATTTTACGTGTTATTTTAGGAAATTCACAATTTCAGAGAGTTCATAATCCCTTACCCTATCCCTCACCTCCTCACCTTTGTCCTACCCCAACCCTCCTGCCCCGACTGATCCAGGCTGAGCACCCTGGTCTTCAGGGCTGTCATTAGTAAACATGGTAAGAACATGCAATATGAAGATGGTTGGGCTGGTTGGACACTTTCCTCTGCTTTAACAGGAAGCCATTTTGAGGATGGGAATTGATTTTCATTTATAAGAGTTGATGAACTAGACAGGGCATGTCTGAACAAAAGATGTTTATTTCTTTTTGGTGGGAATGTAGTCAGGAATGTGATTTTTCTTAGAGAACAGCTAAGCATAGCAAACTAAAAAGGGCCCCAGATCTCCCTCTTATAGAAGAAGCTCTAATAATTTTAGCCTAGAAAATTATAAGGCAGATGTTACAGAGGACCATCTGAGCTATCTTAAACTAACGAATTATTGGTATTTTTGGTGTTTGATGTTCTTGCTACAGAGATCATAGAATGTCTGTCCTTAAGCACTTACGGTTTCTTGGTGAACCTAAAATAAAATCCTTGTGTAATATAACCTTGGGAAGCTGAATAATGTTATTTTATTTTAGAATTATTTATCATCATATCATCAACCAGTTATATGTTGAAAACATTTATCCAGTTATATCTGCTTTAGATTCTCATTAATTGTGGTTTCTTTGTATTGCAGTGTTCTAATCTTAGGCGCTTCAGGCGGAGTTGGTACTTTTGCCATACAGGTAAAAACATTTTTTAATCTTGTGAATAGGAGGATTTTGTTTACATGGATTTATAAGATAAATTATATCTCCTTAAAAGCTGAGAGAAAGGTAGGTCTGGTAAATGCTCTGTAATTTCAGCTTGCTCTGTAAGAGGAAAATATTCTTTTTTTCAATTAAAAAAAATTACTTTTTAGAGACAGAATCTTGCTGTGTCACCCAGGATGGAGTGCAGTGGCAGTCATAGCTCACTGTAAGGAAAATATTATAATGTAGAAGGAAGCATTAATCTTTCTAGTAGTTTAATATGAGTGGGTGTGTAGATGTCCTATAACAAATGTAGGAAAGCTTTTAAGAAGGAAGAACATGGAAAGTGCAGGTAGATGAAAGTTTGCAATTTGGTAGGAAACAGCCAATGTCAAAAATTAATGTTAGTTTCCAGTCAAAATTTTTGCAACTGATAAGCTGACCCTAAAATTTATA